ATAATAGATACTTTCGTTGTCGGTTCGGTTTGAGGCATTAATTGCGAGTGAATGAGGGAGTTGTTAGAGGTTTAATCCAACTGACGAATTTTTGATAAATTTTAAATACACTGTTTGGATATTTTTTTGGTTTTTCGCTTTAACCAACTATTATTTCGTCACTGTTTTCCTCTTTCTTCTCGCCATTGATGCAGTTTCTGGCAACTTCTCCATTCTTCTTGGTTCTAAGATCACCACATTCATACAGGTATTGATTTGAACGGGCTTCATTTGAGTATGAAGCTATTCGCTTGAAAGATTTACATTATTTCGGATATGAAATGATTGACGAATAGCTGATATTCTGTAGATTTGCTGATCATTGTGCTTTGCACTACATGGACGGGAAATGCGACTGGGAGTGCGCATCTGCAGAATGCGGATTTGATGGCTCGGACTGCGGTATGAGCGTGACCCACTCGGACAGTAACGCCATAATGGGAATCATTTTTGATGGACAATCGTACGAAATTCTCCGAAAACTACTCCCTTTGCTTGGAAGCATAGCACAGGTCAGTATCAAAGCGTTCCGTTTACGTAATCCTCGCATTTAGTCCAAATTTTTAGTCTAGAACAAGTGCTGCTCGTCTCTTCTCTCGAGATTTGAATGCTTACGACTTGCATGGACCATGTATGTCACGGAAGTTATTTACGCTATTCCCGAAGGCTATTCGAGCGATGCTTTTGCTCTTTTTACTGTGTAACAGCAGTACAAAACGCATATTGTCACTTTCTATGTGTATGTGCGTATGTGTGTGTGTACGTGTGTGCTTGTGTGTATGTATGTGCGTCTGTGTGTGTGACTGTGTGTGTGCCTGTGTGTCTGCGTGTATGTGCGCGTCTGTATTTGTATATATATTTATGTGTGTATGTGTATGTGTCCGATGCATCTTGTTGTATTTGTGACTCCTACTTTTTAATATTCAATTGTTTGCATAAAAATTTGTGGATTTGAAGCGTGAAATTTCACAGAATTTTTGTTCTGCATAACGTTTGGCGCTGGATACAGGCCTTGTCCCAAATTAACCTTTTACAACTGAAACAACTATAAATACCATGGTAACTCGGGCAGTCAAAATGGGGAATCCTGTTTTACTGAGTCGCTTCTACACGGATGGAACAGGCCCTTCGATCCTGGGCTACATGCATCCAATTGATTCTCGCCGTTTGTTCAGTGCACGAGTACCACTCTTTTTTTTTCCCTGACAGCCGAAAAAGGTCGAAAGGAACATCGCTTCTGCTACGACTTGCACATTTAGATAGAGCGCTAACTCAGACAGTTGGTTCATCCAGAAATTTCCTTTCTCTGCATATTTGGATTACCGAAACATTTCTTACCATTAAAATAATTTTGCTAATTTCGTAATTCTCATTTCCCACCTTCCTTTTTTGATTCTTCTTTAGTCGTTTTTTAATATACTTTTATATTGCGGCTTCTTTCTGATTGCTTCGGACACATCCTGTTTACATAATTTGAGTGTGCTGAGGGTGAGAATTCCCGTTTCTAAGTTGAGGCAGATTTTCACTTCGAATATTTTTATTCACTGTCGTTGTTTGTTGAAAAGATTTCTTGAAATTTCTTTTATTTTTTTTAGTTGTTGCATGCCCCGGTGCATTTGAGTGTGAATTCTGAAGGTGGGGGTCCTGTTTACGGATGGTCATATAAGAATGGTGTCGGCGAGCAAATCGATTTAAAGGAGAAAACAATACCAGAGTAAGCCATTTTCACCCAAAAAAAGCTATGTTTTTATGTAAAAATGATTCCTTATGAACTGGGAAATCGCCGTTCAAACTACGGATGAATTGAAGCACAACGAACTAATGTTTTGCAAGAATATTTTTAATAAATGCAAGGTTATTTCAAAGAGTATTTGGGAACACTTTACTGACAGCCGTGGAAACTCGAAAACGAAAAAAAAAGCAACAACTCGATGATCCTCAGATTGATGGTGTTTTTTCATAGAACGAAAGATCTGCCCTTTTTATCTGGCTTTGATAGGCTTTTCCCGATCCTTTTTGGCCAGTATAAACTGAGACAGTGCAACCTGTGATCGAAGAGCCTGGCATAACTGTGAGTTTGTCATAGTAGGGTCAGTACGCGATTCTGTCACCCCAAATGACCTCATTCACGCGGCTCATTGATGTGATGCACTTGGTTCTGCGTACATATTGGAGGAAATGATTTTTTGACCTAACAGCTGGCTGTTTGACCTTTTTTGACCTGAGAAGATTTTTGACTTTTTTCTGAAGGAATTAAATAGGACATATTTGCTTAGTCTCACCACACGATGAGCGATTGTTATCGCCGGACTGGACGCTCTAGCCCCACCCCCTGCTGCTCGACGGTTACACGAACGATCGGGCTATGTTACACGAAAATCCCCTGGATGTTACTTGAGCTTGTTGACACAACGGCTCATCAATACAAGTAATCTGCGGAAAATGTTCAAGTACTGCATTTAGGAATGTTCGTTACCTGTATACGGGGGCGGGCACCGTTGGAAATTGTGCGTGACTCGAGAATTACACGAGCAACACTGGGTGGTTGCTTGTATCAGTTGCCGTTATGCGAGCATTGTTGACATATTATCTGTAGTCTGATTTTTTCGTGAACTTTCACTGCTATCCATTTACATGTTCGGGAATGTAACAGGTCTTCTGGTGTACTTCACTACTTCACTATTGACACCAGTGTTGAAGTGACCAGAGGGCAATAAATAGCTTTTGGTCAGCACGCTCGCTTGCCTTGTTGCTGACCTAAGGAAGCCACTCTTTGTTGAACTGTACTCATATAAACTCGAAAAACTGATTCTCAGCATGTACCGCAACTGTACAAATGATCTGGAAGCACGGAATCATCCAGAGTTACTGTGTCAATGCTCCGTACCCAGCATAGTTGGATCTAGGGCGGTTTCCTTGAGGGAAGGGGGGAGGCGATTTGGGCGATTTCCCACTCCCTCCCCCCCTCCCCCGGCCCTTGAATCCATCAATGGTACCCAACGTTTCGAGCGGTTGGAGTATCGTATCAGTAACTTCATTCTGTGGGTGGCCAATGCAAGTCTAAGCATTGATTTCAGGAATGTAACAGGCCTTTTGGTATACTTCACTATTAACATGACGTTTTGCGAGCAAAACAG